TGGGAGGCTGAGGCAGGAGGATCGCTTGAGCCCAGGAGTTTGAGGTTGCTGTGAGCGAGGTGATGTCATGGCACTCTAGCCCAGGCAAGAGAGTGAGATTCTGTCTCAAAAAAATTAAAAAAATAAAAAAATAAAAGTAGTACTTAGACTAATGGTTTTAGCCCCAATACATAAACAGCCCACTTTTACAAGAAAAAGCTGAACAGACTAAAAATAGAAAAACTTGAACCCATCAGAGAACTAAAGTTGCATGGTACAGGAGCAGAAAGGTGACACCTGTCCTCGCCCATCTTAAGGATCACAACCGACACTCCTATAACAAAAGACAGACTAATGAGAGAAAAGTGTAACAAATATGTTTCGTCAAAGTTTTCTGCGGCACAGGAGCCTTCAGAAATGAAGACCCAAAGACCCAAGGAAAACTGTCCATTCTTACACTTAGGTTCGATGAAGAATAGTCAGCCATGTAGAAATGCGACTGAACAAAAGACATGCTCTATGGGTAATAGACTTGGCAGGGATTCAGTAAGGCCTGTCTCTTCAGCCTTTTCTTGGCCTTTCTGTGTAACGTTCTTTCCTCCCAGGCATGGGGCAGGGCTCCTCTGAAATGAGGATCTTCAATGGAGAAAGGAGACCTGTATAGGTTTTACGGCGTGCTTGGGGGAAGAGGAGGTCTAGTTTCTATGACCTGCTGTAGAGAAGAGAAACTGTAGTTTCTGTGACTTACTCTGGAGAAGAAAGAGGGGTGGGAGACAGGAGGATGGAAGAAAGTGAGAAATAGCTGTCATCTGAAGCTTTTCCAGTCTTAGTTCAAAGTTTTGAGCACACGAAGGCACTGAACTTTGGGGTATCATGCTCTGAGCCCTGCAAGGTCAAACCGCTCTCTAAAAATCTCAAGAGAAAAGTGAATCAAGAGAATGACATCTGAGATCCACATCTGTAGAGCAGAAGTCACGGGAGCCATAAACTAGTAGGAGCACTTATTTGTTAATGTCGATGAATTACTGGAAGCTGAATATAGATTAATGTGAGAGTGGGAGGCTCCTGGGGACTGTAGTTTTAGGAGGCACCCACCTTTTGTGGGATTTACATCCAGGAATCCACCAGATTCACATAGTAAAGATCTGAGAAGGAGCCCAGGGAGCCTCTGGCCGAACAAGAGGAAGAACAGTCATAGTGAAGTCCTCCCGGCACGTTCTCCATAGCGTAGGCCTACTTTCCGGGGAAAACACTGCATCAGAGCTTTATCCCAGCGGGGGAAGGGCAGCATCTCTCTGTAGCCCCTTCTCACCTTCCTGGCTCACTAAGGGGGAGTAGGAGAAGCAATGCCACGGCAAAAACACTTGTGAAGCCCAGCCAAGAATCACTAAAACAGTAAGATTTAATCATTAGACTATAGAATAATTTCCCGCCCACTAACTTATGATCACCACCGCAACAGGCTTCCAGTATGATGACCATGGATTACTGTTTTTTAAAAAAACCTGCAGGACTCATACTTTCTCTGGGAAAAGTACTTAGGAAAGTACAAAATCAAGAAAGGTGACAAAAACAAGGACAATAGGGGAATTTGAAACCTCTGGCACCTACGACTACAGCAAACATTAAATACAGCCCGACTCCTAAACAGATTACTATAAATTCTTTCACTCTAGTGTTATTTAGTTCAATTCTTATTATCTGATACAACGTGTCTGGTTTTAAATCAAAAATTGCAATGCATGCCAAAAGGCAACATAAAACACAGTTTAAAGAGACAAAGCATGCATCAGATCAGGCTTAGATGGGACACAGATAATGAAATTATCAGAGAGGGAATTTTAAATAACCATGATTAAGATGTTAAGGGTTCTTATGGAAAAAGTAGACAACATCCAAGAACATATTGATTATGTAAACAGAGAGAAATTTTGTGAGGGAAGAAAGAATCAAAAGGGAAAGCTGGAACTAAAAAATACTATATCCGAAATAAAAATAACTATAGGCTCATTAGTAGACTGGACATGGGTGAGAAAAGAGTTACTGAAAATTATTGAACTTGAAATAAGTCACTGGAAACAACCAAAACTTAAATGCAAAGAGAAAAAAGAAACTGTTTTTGTTTTTAAAATAGGCAGAACCTCTAAGAAATGTAGAACAATTTCAGAAGGTGTAACATACATGTAATTGGAATACAAGAAGAAGAATGAGAAAATTAAGCACAAGAAATATTCAAATATTGATGACAGGTGCCAAAATAGAGACTTAGGAAGCTCAGATAACACAAAGTGAGGTAAATATAAAAAATTGGCAACGAGATATATCATATTCAAACTGCAGATACTGAAAACAAAGAGAAAATCTTATAAGAAGACAGAGAAAATAAATGTTTTACCTCTAAAGGAACAAGTATAATAATTATATTAGACTTCTTCTCAGAAACTATACATACAAGAAGAGAGTGAGGTGAAATACTTTAAGTATTGTAAAAAAACAACCCACCAACCTAAAATTCTATATTCAGCAAAATTATACTTCGGAAATGGAGGAGAAGTAAAGACTTTCTTAGACGAATTTAAAAAAGGAAGGAACTCGTGGACAGCAGAACTGCCTGCAGGAGATGTTCAAAGACGTTCTTTGGGGAGAAGGGAAATCTCACAGGTCAGAAACGTGGATCTATGTAAAGAAAGGAAGAGCACCTGAGCTGGCGTGAGCGCTGGTAAAAATAAAGTCTGTTATTTTCCTTATTCTTAATCGATCTAAGAGATAAATGTGTGTCTGAAGTAAACACAGTGACAATGTGTGGGGCGATTGCAGCATGTGGGTGAGTGAGATGAATGACAACAACATCCTCAGGGACAAACGCTCTATTACAAGGTACCCGAACTGCATGTGAAGTGGTGTAACGTTGTTTGAGGGCAGACTTAGATTTGTTAAAAATGTATATTGCAGACTCCAACACAACCTTTAAAAAAAGAAAAAAGATATAATTGATAGGCTAAGAGGAGAGAAAATAGAATTATGA